TGTAATTATCAGCAAGAAAAATGTCTTAGGGATTGAGCCTACTGTGTCTTACTAATACAAGAGGCCTCTTTGTGAATTCCCTATGGTAATTCCTGGTCATTTGAAAAAAGAAAAGTGTTAACACACAAAGTGCGAACAGTGCTATTCAGAAACACGCCATATGGGATTCATCTCACCTAACTACAGACGGCCACTTCTGAACTAATTCTACGGAGATTCCTTTATCACTAAGAAGAGAAATAGGCTCTTCTAGAATACAACCCATCTCCACTGAAAGATGTCTAAAATAGATCACATCCTCTAAAAATGCGTACTGCTCTCCACTGACTATCAAAGGAGCCCTGGTACAAGCTCAGATGTTGACAGTGATGCTGTAAATGTCCAGTGCTGGTGAAATGGCTTTCTGCTTGTACATTCAAATGGCATATTAGTTGCTTTAAAAAACTGCATTTAGAAAAGCACAAAATATCTATAAAATATATCAGTTTTTCGATATCCTTTGAGATCACAAGCAGAAATTAAAGATCAATGCAGTCTGCAATTGGTACTCTGCTTTCATTGCTGAAGAAACTGCAACAAAACAGAGCAAAAATATCCTCAAGAAAGTGCTAATTATAGCCTCAAATCTCAAGTAGCAGACTCCCTACAGAAGAGCTGCTTTGCAAAAATCTAATTTATAGCTCCACTATCATGCTCACAGTCTCCATCACAGCAGAACAGCAACACTAGAAAGTACCACTCCTTCATTTTATCAGAAGTAATTTTTTTTGCATAAAGAAAGCCTGCAAACATGTACTATTAGAGCCCAGTCATACATAAGTACTATACAAAGCTGCTTTGAGTAAAGGAAAAACTGCTTTCTGAAAAGTGTTTCGGGCCCTTTGATCTTTCTGTCTCCAGATTGCCAAAGGAAACTGAGGCAAATGGCTGGTGCAGAGAGAGCGAGCAGATGCACAGCCTTCCCCCTATGGCCACCGAGACAACCCAGCATGTCCCAGCAAAGTCAGGAAAAGCTGGACACCCCTCGGTGACTACTGGTGGGGTCTGAGACGGGGGGTGCATGTGGGAATGGGGTGCCAGGCCACATCATAGGGGTAAAAAACCCTGATTTTCTTAGGCCTATTTCAAAGGCACTGAAGCAAACGAGTTTGGGAAGGCAACGGCTCAGTGGCCTGCAGGCTGCACATTTTGTTGGTATTTTCAGCAGTGAAGGAGGCAACCCCTCATGTCCCCTCCCATCTGTAACGCAACTCTCTCCTGAAGAAGACGGAGCAATACTGGTGGGGCTCCCTTACCCTGTCACATTACACATGATACCAGTTACACAGGTAAGTCAGGATTATTGAGTGCCTTTTGTGAATGCAAATATTTAATAACAACTAAAATTTAAAATAAACACAGTTACATTGTGCTGTGGCCAGTAATATCTTTTAATAATAAAGTCACATACTGTCATGATTACAATCAGCTCCTAAGCATAAAGCACTGTGCCCAGAGGAGCATCATCTGCCAGCCTGGGCTTTTTGCTCTCACACTGGAATTTTTACACTTCATGTTCACTAGGGGAATGATTTTATGATACTGAAATGTGATCAAGCAAGGAGGCCTAACAATAATACATGTCAGCTTGTCCTTCCAGTCTTTGGCATTAGGCAGATTTTTTTACTACATGTATCTTGCCTTCAGCCTGTTATCAGCCCTTCTATAAGAATAAGAATAAAACCCATCCAGGAAATCTTTTCATCTTGACTTAGCATCTGATTCTAATATGGATGGATGCATACAGCTCTGGGACAGAAGCCAAATGTTAAGTTTAATACAAAGGACTGTTATTTTAGTCCCGTTTTATTTTCTGTGATAGCTCTTTTTCAGCTACGATATAAAGTCACTGAGAAATATCTGACATAAGTATTACATGACAGGCGATATTATTTAAGGGTATATAGCAATATTTAGTGAGCTCATTTAGTTATGACAAATGCAAAATTACATGAAGAGTTGGGTATGGTTTAGGATTAATGCCACTCTTTGTTTAATAAACAAGGGCATTTCAGGTAAAAGTAAAATATATTTTCTGTGCTCAAAACTCAAGCTGCTTTGAACACACTGCAAAAACATTAAAGGTGGCTTTTTTTGGTTCTTTTTTACTAGAGATTCTCACTTATAACCTGGGTTGGTCAGGAACTGGCTGAGGGAGGGAGCAAAAGGGCCATTTATGCAGATCCTGCCATTGCATTTGAAAGATACTGAGGAGACTGAGACCCCAATTTTGCAAAAATTCACATGTCCCCTTAGCTCTAGGTGGGACCTATGTGAAGACACACATGCTTAAAAGTTAGATGCACGCTCAGGCTTAGTGAAGTTAGTACTGCACTGTTAGAATGGGGAGAAGCAAGACTAGGGGAGGTGTAATCTATCTTGGACATGTCATACATTTCTTCGAGACTGTGGACTTGACCTATGCTTGCTGCAACCAATGGTAAATCCTTACTGATTTTAATGGTGGAGGCTTGCAGCAGGCTTGAAGGACACAACCGGATGATGAACGGCCAGCAGTGCTGCAAGACTTCGTACAAGCCGGCTGTACAATTGCTTTCATCATGTCTGGCTGTGGCGAAGGCGCTAAGGGACTACAGGGAGCGGGGCTAAGTGCCACCGCAGAGCGCTCCCTGACAGCAGCCAGGGTATCCCTGGGCTGACTGTTCATTTTCAACTTTGCTGTGCTGGTGTGAAGTGCATTTTACAGGGAGACCTGGAGGGTGTTTTCCTGGAGAACATGATTTGCAGTGCCGTTACCTCCAATGAGCAGATCAAGTGAAAGACCGTGACAGCTGTGGACATGGTCTCTGCTGTGAAGTGCCAGGGCTGCAAGCTGTGGAGATTTAGAGGCTAAACTCACACTGAAACCACTAAGCCCCTGAGAAATGGAGAGCCAACAGCTTTGTGCTGGGGAGTGAGCCAGCCTGCTGCAGATTTGCCTTACCAAGTCTGCCTGCCAGATCTCTAGCACAGTAGCTGGGACCACCAAAACCCACTTTCCCAGGACTGGAAGAAGAGAAGACTCTCTCCACCCTGGTTTTGGCATTGGGAGAGCCCCAAAGACAGAGCTTTTGCTCCTTCCATTTGAAGGGAGCCCGAGGGAACCTACTTCTCCCCTTCTCCACCCTATTTCTTGCTTCCAGCTCTTGCTGGTCAAGGAACCTCATCCACCCTGAACTTTTCTCTTATCTGTCCCTGTTAAAAAAAAGAGATGTTGACAAGTTCTGGCCTGTATACATGTGTGCTTCCAGAGCACTGCACAGACAGGGAGATAGGACCATGCTGGTGAGTGTGGACAGGAAACAGAAAGGGATAGAAATAGAAAGCACCACAGATATGTACCAGACAAAACGGAGTAATCCAGATACCAAGGCTACATATGCAGCAAAGGCTGCCACTTTTGCATTTCCTTTTTCTTCAGGACCTTTCCAGCTTCGAGTAGGAGACTCTAAGAAAGTGTTGCAACCATTAGGGAGATGGAAAATAAACTCATCCCAGCT